AAAATGCAGGGAAAAATAATGATATAAAGATAACTAACAGATGTTTTGAAAATGTGGTACAGTTCAAATATTTGGGAAAGACAAAAACAAATCAAAATTTTATTCAAAAGGAAATTAAGAGAAGGTGGAATTCGAGTCATGCTTGCTACCATTGAGTCCAGAACCTTTTGTCTTTTCGTCTGCTGTCTAAAAATATAAAAATTAAAATATATACGAATAATAATAATAATAATAATAATAATAATAATAATTATTATTATTATTATTATTATATGATACAATATAACACTATGAGTTTGCTTGTGGCTCTGTATGGGTGTGAAATTTGGTCTCTGACAATAAGAGAGGAACATAGACTGAGAACAGAATGCTGAGGAGAATATTTGGACCGAAGAGAAATGAAGTAATACGAGGTTGGAGAAAACTTTATAATGAGGAGCTTCATAATCTGTACTCTTCGCCAAGTATAATTAGAATTATCAAGTCAAGGAGGATGAAATTGCAGGGCGTGTTGCACGAACGGGGAGAAGAGAATGCATAGAGACTACTGATGGGAAAGCCAGGAGGAAAGAGACTACTAGGAAGATCAAGATGTAGATGGGTGGATTATATCAAAATGGATTTTAGAGAGACAGTATGGGATGGTATGGACTGGACTGGTAGTGACCAGTGGAGGGCTCTTGTGAATGTGGTAATGAGCCTTCGGGTTCCATAAAATGCTAGGAAGTTCTTGAATAGCTGCACAACTGGCGGCTTCTCAAGAAGGGCTCAGCTCCATGAAGTTAGTATTACGCTTTGAACCGTCAAGTGTTAAATTATAAATATTATCGTTCTTAAGTGGGGCTACACGGTAGCGTAGCCGGTTGAGGCACTATTCTACAAGCCAGAAGGTCGCGGGTTCGATAACCGATGAGGTCATTAGATTTTTCAATTCACCTAATCCTTCCAGCCGCAATATGGCCCTGGGGTCGACTCAGTCTCTAACAGAACTGATTATCGGGAATCTTCCTAGCGGTAAGGGGTCGCCGGCACATAAAGCTGGAAACTTCACCGCCATCTGTGAGCAGAGTGTCTAGAGAAAATGTGGGAGCCTCGACGTCTCACAAACCTATGGGCCTCCATAGCCTCTTACATATGTTACCATGTCCTTAGGTTTTCGTAAATGGCTATGAAATATGAGGATTATAAGGCTGACGTGAGAAAGGCTGATCTAAGTTTTTACAGGACAACAGCGAGAAGTCGGAAATAAGAGACGCTCCAGTAACATCATGATCACCTCTACGCACAGAACTAGTAGAGATTTATTGATTATAATTATCTGTGCTGTCCGTGCCGAAATGTTATAAGCAGGGCAGTTAGTGAGGGGGCCGCAAGGGTTCGGTTGTAAAAAAATCTAATCGTGACGTCGAGGGGCTTGGCACCAAGATGATTAGATAGGCAATAGACCGTCAGTCGTAAAGTAACTTTGACTTCGACTTTTTGGAGTGAGTTCAGTTAGTGAAGTCAGTTGGTTGGTGAGTGACTGATTTCAGTCAGTCGATAGTTGTTGTATCCGAGGCCGGGGAGAGTCCGGGAATCCAGAATAAGGGGAACGTCTGTCATTGGAAGCCGCTGCCAAGCAACCGTTAAGGAAGACTAAAAAGACTTCATGTGTGCTGTGTTTACAATGGCCTTTGGAGTGTGCAACTCAGTGAGACTGTCGTAGTTATTTGTAGTTACGTTCTGTAAGAGTTCAATAAATCCAATTACCAATCCAAACCCAGTCTATAATCACTACATTACATGACAATACCTGTATTTCCATGGAAGTAAAAGATAAACTTTCTGTTTAATGAAGCACCTCGACATTAAGACGTACCAGAGACTAGAAATACAGATCCTCACGTTACTGACATCGGCACTAGATAGAGATAAGTGTTTAGCTTCATACCGCGGCAGCTTTTCAGAAGGGGAGGAACCCCTCGGTATCCATAAGAAAGGATGCTAGCTAGCTGCTGTGGTAGGGTGAAAACTCCCTGTACCTGTCGGGAATCCAACTTTGGGAACCATAATATTCTTAATTTTTACATTTGATGCCGTCTGAAGGGAAGGCGGATAGACCAGCTACGCTTAAAAAGATTTTGTAACACAGAATTATGGCAGAGCTCGTGACAACGCCGGATTTCCGCAAGCAGTGATTCTCGGAGAAGATTCACAGGTTAACGTGGGATTCAATCGCGTATCGACTTAACGTTGGTGCCATTTATACTGAACGTGGACGACTATGGGGATCTTTTCCTAAAGGCATATTCTAGGTTCAGGGAATAAGATTGAACACTCGTCTTAAACATTTCCCACAAAGACCACTTATACGGTACATACCAGAGTTGCATGGTGTCATGGTCATGAAACTTAACGGATAATCGTTTAGTACCTTCATTCCTTCACAATTTTTCTTCATCTTCTTTCTTAACTTTATCTCTTTCTTTCCTTTCTCCGTTATGGAAACTAATTATGTTGCGTCATTTTCCTCCAGATGGCATACTTTCGAAGACGAAGCTGCCATCTGTGTTAATATGTGGGAAGTAAATGATTCCATGGCGAGATCATGAGAACGACACAAGCATACACAGTCAGTTGCAAACAATATCCTATTATATACACGCATAATTTTGTATTATCGTATAGTCAGTGCACACTGAAGCCTGGCCGCTATTTTATCCCTTCTGCTCGTAACCATCTCATAGCGGTTCACTCAAGTAGACGCTTGTCATATGTTAGCATTCGCTTACAAACCTGAAACAGCAACCTTGCAAAAGCCAATGTGTGTACGTGTGTGCGTTTGGGACATTTGTGTAATTGCAGTCAGAGAAGCAGCATCTCGAGAAAAGCGTTAAAATGATGCAGCATGTTTGATTTTCTTCATTTTTGCTCTTTTGTAACGTCATGTTCTGATGATATTCATGTAAACTGTTTTAACGTGACGAAGGAAGGAAGGAGGAAAGAAAGAGGGGGGCCGAAATAACAAAAGGAAGGGCAAATAAGGAGGACTGAAAAGGACAAAGTAAGAAAAAGGAGGTACAGAGAGAAAGATTGCATAGCAAATGAAAATATTTTCCGCTCATCTTTCAACGGACATTACATCAGTAGCCTATCAGTATATTATAATGTATATGGTTCTTTCTTCGTGAGCAGGTGTTTAGAATGATCAAATTAAAATACATATTACGTATGCTGAATGAACTTGTTTTCAAATCGCATTCCAAAAGAAAACGATAAACCTCGAAATAACAGAAAATTTTTATAATGAACTGAGATAGGTTATAAGACAAGGCAAAGTCTATTAATGACATTGTCAGTTTGTGGTTTATATTTATCATTTTCCCTTCATGTTTAGCTTGTACGTTCGCTCTCTCAAAGAGGTGCCACATTTCTATAGATCGCATTAAGGACAAAACGAAAGTGGCAGTCTGAACTATTTTACTAATTCAACGCATGCTCACATCTATTGATGATGTCGACCCTATCAGACATTCCAGCTTAAACAAAGGGGAGTTACCATAGATGAAGATATTAAATAGACTGTTTTAAAAATATTAAAATTAAAATATTATTGCTTTGCAAAAGAAGGGATGTAACAACATATTTTATTCCGGTACAAACCCAGGAATTCCAGACAACCCCTCACCCCACCCAGTAATTTTTAATGTTTGCTATGTATAACAATATTTGTGTGATCATGTAGTGTACTTTAGACGTGTTGTTCAAGATAACATGAATGGAGCCACACCTGCTGAAGATCTCCTTGAGCTCATGCTCGGACACGAACTGGCCCAGGTTGGCGACGAACAGCGTGGAGCAGGGGGCGTTGTTCACCCCGACCCCCGGCTGTGATGAGGATGAGCCCACGGGTGAAGCCAGCGCCGGCGATGGCAAGAAATGTGGCAACGACGCGTGGATCGAAGTGAGGGCCGCCGTCGGGTGCGGGATGGATAGCGGGTGCTAGAGCCACACAGAAACACAGTCAGTACAGTGGCGGCTAGTGCCTCAGCAACGTACAGTAGTATTTGCCGGGGCAACATAAACACAGTAATGTGGCGACTAGTGCTTCAGTAATATAAACTAGTACCAGTTGGGACCACATAAACACACTACAGGGGCGGCTAATAAAAAGGGGTAAAGCTGTCCCTGCAACAGGCCGTGGAGGGCCATAAGGTTGTGAGACGTCGAGGTTCCCACATTCTCTAGAAAATCGGCTCAAATTTGACGATGAGGTTGTCAGCATTACGTGCGGACCGTCCTTTACCCCCCAGGAAGATTCCTGGTACTCATTTTTTTAGAGGCTGTGTCGACCCCAGGGCCATAGTGAGGTTTAAAACATTAGGTAAGTTGAAGAATACAATGACCTTATCGAGAATCAAGCCCGCGACCTTCCGGCTAATACTTCAGTAAGGTACACTGTGCCTGCTGGGGCCACACACAGTACAGTGGTGTCTAATTTTTCCGTTAAATGCACTAGTACGTGCTGGGGCCACATAAACACAGTACAGTGGCGGCTAGTACTTCCGTTAAATGCACTAGTACCTGCTGGGGTCACATAAACACATTACAGTGGCGGCTAGTACTTCCGTTAAATGCACTAGTACCTGCTGGGGTCACACAAACACAGTACAGTGGCAGATGATACCTCAGCAATGTACATTAGCATCAGATTGGGTTACACAGAAACGCAGTACAGTGGCAGCTAATGCCTCAGTAATGTATCTTAGTACCTGCTGATGCTAAGTAAACATAGTACAGTGGCTGCTAGTACTTCAGTAATGTATACTAGTACCTACTGGGGCCACACAAACATAGTACAGTGGCGGTTAGTACTTCAGTAATATACACTAGTGTCTTATGGTGCCACTCAGAAAAATGGTGCGGTGGCCTCTAGTGCATCAGCAATTTACAGCATCGGCTGCTGAGGCCTTATAGAAATACATTAAAGAGGCGGATTTTGCCTCAGCAATGTACCTCTTTAGCTGCTGGGACTGTAAAGAATAAGCGGCGTTAAGTACAGGGGCGGCTAGTGCCTATGCGAAGTAATGGAGGTCAGATAAAATAGCGACAGGTAGTGCGTCGCTGATGTACAATGCCGAAAAACTCTATAAAAAAAGCTAACTAAGCAAATAAATAGACTATTGAAGAAAAAATATAAACAAATATATTAACAGTAAAACAAATAATTGTGACGCACAGCTGCATGAACCAGTGGATCTAAACATAATAATTAGCTAAACACATTTTAATGCAACAGCAAAAATATTTCTTCAATTTGTTATTTTTTTCTGTGTCTCATTTCGCATATTGTTTAATGACAACACTTCTAAATGGCTTTAAAGCCCTTGTGGACCTTTGTCGCTTTTTCAGTTTCTTAATCTATACACAGTCGGTAGTACTTCTTGGACGGGGGATCAGCCTGCCGCAAGGACCCTACCCATACACAGAACAGCAGAAACACAGAAAAAACGAAAACAGACATCCATGCCTCGCGCGGGATTCGAACTCACGATCCCAGTGTTCAAGAGGGCGAAAATGGTTCGTGCCTTAGATCACGCGATCATTGTGACCGACTTAATGACAATATACGTACCATCTATATAATTTCATTCATGGCGAATGATATGAAAATGACTGCATGCGCGGTGAACAGAAAGTTATCGAAAAAGTGATGAGCATGAAGCTTTCATACCGGGATTCCCCTGGTAAATACCGGTAATTTTCGGGAGATAAATTCAAGGAGGAGAAGTGAGAAGTGGGTATAAATATTTTGCCGAAAAATTTGTAGGTCTACTTTGTAAACATAGGCTTATATGATGATATTATTAACATTTCCTTTAAAGAAATACAACATGGACTAGGTTAAAGTGAACTCAGAATTGAACTTTCCGGCTGCATACAAGAACAGAACTACTATTAGCTTCTCAAGAACGATATACTCTATCCATTGAATTAACTCGCTGGTTAATTATCGAAGTAACGGCGAGCTACTGGGGTGATTCCTATGCAAAAAGTTGTGTGTTCGGTCTGTGTTCAGCACAAAACTGGGACTCCTAAAAGCAATACGTCATAAATAGTCATCTTTATTACTTTTAAATGTGACGTGATTTTTTATATGTTATTTTCGAAAACAGTGGCTGAAAGTAAACGCGTGTCATAGAAATGGCAGACGGCTATAAGACAGTAAAACATTCGGTTATACAAATTTTAAGCAACGAAATGCGACGATTATGAAAACTGTGATCAGAAATTCCGTATCCTATATAAAATCTGGAGATTCTATACCGGGTTCACAAGACCCGAGGCTGCTCCCTACTCAGAGCCAGATGAATGCAATCCATGTCATCACAACTGCTTATTTTCGATTCTCCTTAATATTATCCTCCCATTTGCATGTAGGTGTACCAAGCTCTTTCTTACATTCAGCGATTTCGAATATAATTTATACGTTTTTCTAAACTTTCTCTTTCGTGCTACACATAAAACCTATCTGAATGCGGCCTGTTCAAATTATTACATAAAATTTGAAACAGATTTGACTCAATGGTAGATAAATCAGTATGCAATTCAGATTTCGCTGATAATGAAGATAGATAGGAACTAAATTTTCTAGAGTAAACCCTCGCTAATTCGGATTAATTGTGGAGTGGGGAGAGGTCATCAGGAATAAGTGATAATCCGGATTAATGAAGCAAAAGGTAGACAAAAAGATAAAAAAAATAAAATTCAAATAAATGAAAAAATTAATGATACAAAGAGTACTAATAAAATTAAATAACAAAATATCACTGTAGAGCCGATTCATCGACCTCGTACAAGACTCAGAAGTTGTACTTCTTTTTGAACGTAATAATGCAGGTTTGAAGAAAATGTCTAAGATTTGTCTGATAAGACAAGTGACTCATCTACCTTCCTAAATGCCACGTGTGTTTCAAATTATGTACTCAACTGTGAACAGCATTTTTCATATTTCGATACGGATTAATTGCAACCGGATTAGCGAAGGTTTGCTGTCTTCCAAATATCTCAGCTGTACGCAGTAACGATCATGACTTGTTTAGCACCGTTATGCGGAGTGTTGTGCTGTCATAGCAACTGACATTTGGCGACACATTTCAGTCACTGAACTGACGGAACACTGTGACTGTGACTACAGACGCGCAATGCTGTGGTTCTACAGGCACTAACACTAAAGTACTATGCAGTCAGGGAGTTGGGACATGGAGGGGGGGGATTTTACAAAACTTTTTCTTTGTTCTTTGTTAAAACGACATCTGAGGACCTTAGATTTTAAGCCCGTGTGGAGGCGGGGTCGAATACCTCCACCGTAGCCCTGCGAATCGTAGGAGGCGACGAAAAGGGAACCCAGTGCCAGGAGGTATAACCGGGCCACACTGTTCCTGGTGAATTTATACAGGAACTGGCCCTCCAGGTGGGGGGAGTCTCGAATCTGAGAGAGCATAATATGGTCATTAGACCTGCGGGACTCGGACCTGAGAATGACTGCGCTGGCGAGGACCAGCAGCAATTATAAATGACAGACCCATCCTCTCCTCAGAGAGGATGTTATATAAGGACTATGCCCATAAATATTCAGTTGAAAAAATGCTGGTCGTGAGTCTCAAGGGGCTTGGTGCCAAGACGAATTGATTGGCGGTGAACCGCCAGTCACAAATTAACTCTGACTCTGACTCAGACCTTACGCGCATCTAAATATATTAAGCAACAATGTAAATGAGACATATAGAATTATGACAACAATGTCAGTTTTTGTCACAGTGTGTGTCAATTCCGTGTCATAAATTTCGACAAGTTTTGAGGACGTTCATGTTTTCAACCGAGGCCAATGGTGGAATCTTTCGTCGCCTGGAGGAGAGGAAGGGGAATTGGCGAGCGCATCACACGCCATTGCTGATCTGAACAACCTGACTTATAAAATCCGGCTAATAAAAGAGGGAGTCGTTATTACGGACAAATTGCACTAGCAGCTAGTAGCATTAGCAGTCTTGGCGACTCCAATTCCTCCCCTGGCCTCTTCCTACCCCTGTTCCATTATCCTAAACTCACAATTCAGGATATTCATAACAGCTCTGTTGACTTTACAGCGTTCCGAATACGTACCATGCGTCACGTTAACATTCGCGCGACACAGCACAGAACGTTCGCGGTGTATTGGACATTAACATTCAAAGCTGTAATCTGCACAGGATCTAAACTCACCACTCAGCTTATTTAGTCTGGAATACGGCCCCTGTCTTAAGCAAACAGCATCGGCTTACAGAACACCGCCGTGTAATGTTTATGGAACTATCCTATCTTACCGACACAGCATTCGCTGCCGATCTCAGCGAGAAGAGACCCATTCCGTACCTGAAAATCCAGTCAAAAGCGGGTTAAGAAACTGTAATCAGTTACGCAAATGTCTTCGCCCGCTCGAACGCTGAGAACGTGGGTTCGAATCCTACTCAGGGAATGGATGTTTATTCTCTGTTTATGTGTAGGTAGAGGCCTTGCGACGGGCTGATCTCCAGTCCAAGGAGTCCTGCCGACTGTCTTAGATTAATAAACTGAAGTGAAACAAAGCGTTTCACGGATTCCTATCCTCCAAGTGGGAGAAGAAGGAACAATTACATTTTATAACAATCCCATCAAGCACAGTCCTCCTTAAGAAGCTGACAGGCTCTCCCGTTGCCAAGAAGTTCTCATTATTTAGAGAAAATCAAAGTTCGTTAGTATGTAAATTCATGATGAATTGGAAAGGCAGAGCTAGAGACAATACTGGACACAAGCAACAGAAGAACAGCGAAAGTTACATTATGAGGAACTTTATAATTTGTATTCTTCACCCAACAGTGCCCTATTAGAATGTACACATGACATAGGAACAGATGTATTGAGTATAGATCACATATGAAAGTCAGAAATGAGTGCACAATTTTAGCTGGGAAACCTGAAGGGAA